TGGTTAATCACGTAATATGTATAAGCGAATCTTTAAATGGTAGGTAAAATTATGATTTCAAACTGAGCCACAATTGTATTGCCATTGCAAAAGCTTCTTAATTTAACTTAATTAAAACGTAATCAGGATCTATCAAGATACGTTTTATTAATATTTAATTTTATTGTCGTACTAAATAATATTTGTTTTTCAATTTCTAAACATTCTTTAAACACTTTAAAGATTTATTTAACTGTACTTAAGTGTTAAAAGCGATTTAGTACACTAAACGCTACTGTAGTCACTAATTAACTTTTGTAAACCCATAGCTTCAGTTTTGTATTTTTTATTTAAACTATAATCTGTGTACCACTACACCAGTGTTATGATATTAATAAATTGATTGAATGATTGTGTTATGCCACTTTACTATAGATTATTGTGTATATGATTTTATTTGTATACAGGGTTATAAAAAAGTCCCAGGACAGTTAAATATTTAAGAAAATAATGTAGATAGAGCTACAATACTTGGTAAAAAGTTACAGGGCATAAAACTCTATTTTAACACATATTCAGTAATCCAATAACTCTTCAGGGGGACGGCCCACAAGGAGTCGGAAGAAAATCTTAAAGGAAGCATAGGTCAATATGCACATCAATTTAAAGGTATTTTTTAGTAAAATACAATGCCGCAAACCGCACTTCAAAAGGTTGATCCTGCGCAAAATGGCAGTTGTTCAAAGATTTCTTGAATCCGCAATTTTGAATCTTTGAACGACTGCCATTGTTTACTCAGGCATTCTTTTGAGCTTGAATTTACGGCATCGTAATCTACTAGTGAAGACCTATAATTTGATGTGCATATCGACCTATGCTTAACAATTTTCTTCCGATTCCTAGGGCTGTGCCCCCTGAGGAGTAAGCGTATAATATCAATGTAAATTAAATGAATCTTTGAACAACTGTCATTTTGCGCAGGATCAATCTTTTGAAGTGCGGTTTGCGGCACTTTATTCTAGTAAATAATACCTTTAATTTGATGTGCCTATTGACCTATCTTCTATTTAAGATTTTCTTCCGACTCCTTGTGGGCCGTCCCCCTGAAGAGTTATTGTATCACTGAATATGTGTTAAAATAGAGTTTTATGTCCTGTAACTTTGTACCAAGTATTGTAGCTCTATCTGCATTATTTTTTTTTAATATTTAACTGTCCTGGGATTTTTTTACCAACCTGTATATACCCAAAACTCTTCCCTGTGGCTTATAGAATTAGAAAATGGGACCTTTTGAAGCGTTAAAATAAATAATGTTTTCACTCAATACAACAATTATCTTTGCGATTGTATTTTTATATGATAACTCATTGAATCTTAGAGCAAAATAAGAAAATCACATATCCTGTAAATCTATGTATTTTTGTTTTAAAATACATTAACTATAGAAATCAATTTACATGCTACAATGAATTGTGACACCTTATTCTCTAGGTACATTTAAAGAACATTTTTCACTGGTGGCCATGACGTAACCATCGTTAGTGCTGTCAATTGCTAAACCAAAACATGTTTAAATCTTTTATTGTGTTAAGTTTATTTTTCACAAGCAGTTTGAATAGTTGAGATGAAATACATATGTTTTGAGATCCCCATATTACACCCCGAAAAACTACTTAAAATTTGTTTTATTAATACAGTTTGAATAAATTTTAAAACAGTTACACTCCTTAATTTTATTCCAATGTGTACAAAACTGTAGACTGGAGTGACTGTAGTATTAAATTTGTAATGTATGTACTTTAACACAACTTTAAAGGAATATTTTAAATCCTCATCTCACTTCTAAAGACGGCAATCATGTTACTCAAAGACCATACTTTAGTTATGCCCTAAGATAAAAAGTAATAAATGTAATAAGTTAACAGGAGTTAAAGAAATAAAAAGTTTGTAGATTAACCAGTCATTGATATACGATCGTGTTTTCTGATCTTGAAACAATATGGTTAGGCACAAGAGGGAAAGGAATTCAGTGGCTACTTTATTTTACTTTATATATGAATCAATGCATTGCCTGGTTACAAAAGAGTTTACCAAAACAAACCCTCATGTTAACTTTATTTTAAATAAGGACAATAGTTATATACATAATACTAAAATTTGGAGAAATGTTTAGTAGGAAAACCGACCAATAATATAACTGTAGGCCTATACATTTTTATGGATTATTCAATACAGCGACTCCCATTGGAGATATTTTCAGTGTGCCTACAATTGATCGTACAGTTGTGCTGTTTTTTCATACATGAGATAATTTATGTTGAGTCGTTTTTAGACTGTTGTAGATTTTCTTCATATTTTGTGTTACATTCATCAAATATACTATGCCAGCGATGCTTTCTAGTCATATTGTAAACATTCACTGTTTTAAATTTAATCATGTTGTACTTGCATCCTTACATTAATGAGCTCCTTATTATGTATCAGGATGTTTTCCTACTGATAGGAAAAATACAAATGCAACATTTAGCAGTAAGTACTAGGTACATTTTTAATTATTTATATACATAGTCACTACTGATTATGAAAATAGAAAAAATACTAATTTTTCAAAAGACTACAGTCCATTATGTTTAATGTTTTAACTGTGTACTTTACCATTTTTAACCGACTTCCCCACTACCAACAAAAGGAGGAGGTTCTCAATTTGTCTGTGGCAATGTTTTTTTTTTCTATCTATGTTCACCAATTTCTCTGTGATTCTTTTACCGATCAGCGCGGTTCCACCACCAAAATAACCAGGAGAGTTTCTATTTGGTACCTTAAATGGCACTATGTTTAAGAAAAAAAATTTTTTGTGTGAAAAATGCTGAAAACCTCAAATATTCAACATTTATTTGTTTACATTTTTGCAGAGAATGCAATAAATAATAATAACATTCCTACAGCTGTTAGTTAAAAACATTTAAATGAAGCTACAGACAGTTTCTTCATGAAACAGTTGCTTCATATTGAAAAAACTATTTCTTGCCATGGAGCCTAAATAAGTTACATTGAAAAAATGCATTTTGTTTTGGTGACTATAAAAAAGGTATTTCAACGTTTGACCTGATTTGTGTATGATTCTGTTTTGAGTATTGAATGTTCTGACTTATAAAAACACAGTGAATAGCTGTATGATATTGACAATAATATAAGGTGTTTTGTGAAAACCAAAGCATTCGTAAAAGAGGTCTAAACATAAATTAGATGCAATTATTCCTTAAACGACATAAGAGGTGTGAGATTGCATGGTCGTCAATCGTCTTAAAAGTGTTAAATATTTTAATTACTAAACATGCATTTGAAGATGTGGAATGTTTATTAACATTCTTCACTGTCAATAATATTATGCCTGCTTCGGAAATGGGAAGCTGATTTGCAATTTCGACTAGGCCTACATCTTGAGCAAACAAAACCACCTACACCTTACACCACTTTTAGCTGGACCAATCTTTCATATACGTATTTTTCAAAGGTAATATACGTGATAACAACCAATTTTATACTTTTAAGAGATTTTTTTGTGCTGGTGGCTGAGGAATAACTTTCTTATTGTTCCAAAAGGCTTGAGACCTTACTGTATTTCGTTTTATAATGTAGAAGTACACCAATTGCAGGAAACAATGATGTCTGGCATTTCAATGTCTCTATGAAAGACATTCTTTTTTCATTAGGCCTAATGTAATGGACAAATATTTCTTTTTTTTAAGGGAAAATCCAAAAATGTTAATTTTTATACCCATTGATTATGTAAACTGAACAGGCTCTAACTGCAAATATAAATAAAATAAGAAATATTGAGAGTGTATTTTGAAAATCAATAAATTGTAGCTGGATAACATAAATATATAAAAAAACATACTGAACCGTTTTGTTTATATCTTATATCAAAGTAAGTATTTTCTTGTATTTTATGTTTACTTCAGGATGATCGCATAATGAAAATAACAATTACAAATGTTCTATATGAATAGGAAAATAATTTATTTTGATATTATGATAGGGAAAAGAAGCTTGTTTAAAATTAAAACGTTACTTTTCCGAGTTAGAAATATGCAAATACATTATAATCTTTTTAAAGATACTCGTTAATATCACTATAAGATTGTTATCACCTTTAGTTATAGATAGTCACCTGCAATGTTGACATCCTCTTTAAATTTTGTATAAAAAAATCCTCATATAGAGCCGTGCCGACTTAAAATACGTGAGCTTGACTAATACAAAAGTTTACTTTATTGAAATTATTTCATTCTTTTTAGAGCACTTTGAAGTCGGTCGTATTTTTTTTACAAAAATAAATTATACTCAAAAGGTATATCAAATTATATAGTGTAGGCCTGGATATAGTAGTAGAAAATGCCATCCTGAGCACGGAAAAATGTTTATATCGAGACTGATATTATAACCTTAACAAAACCCAACCTTTTGATGTTTTGTAAAATTTTGTCAACTCGTTTTGAAATAGCAGGGATAAGGTAATTATTTGTTTTTAAGGTGTATTTGGCTCGAAGGTTTTAGCCTTGATAAAAATCATAAACAGGTCAATGTAAAAGTTTACAGGTACAAATACAACGTTTTACAAGAATGAAAAATGTAAATCGTTATACGGCTTTTCCTGAAGAAAAAATAATTAATACAGATAATCGTTTACTTTCAGCATTAGGCTCTAAACCTTTAGAAAGAAAACCACTTTAGAACTGAAGATCCAGCTCTATCGACTAGAACATACGTGGTACGAACGACGGAATATTTTGATCAGTTTAATATATGCTTATATTATAATTATACAAAACTTATTCATGTAACAACCGTACTTTAAAGAAATTTTTTAAGAAAAAAAAAACTTCACATTCAAAACTTTAAATAGAAAAATATACTCAAACAGATCAAAATAGATCAAACCAAAATATTTTGGATAGTTACTTAAATAACAATAGTATATTACTCATTCAAGGTAAACTTAGCCAATAAAACAACAGTTTGCAACGCTTCATACGTTTATTGCTTGAGAAATATTTACAACAGAACAATGGTTAAGTGCCGTCATAGTTTTAGGTTACTGCTGATATTCAGGCTGAGGCGGTAGACTTCTGATGTAGGCCAGACTCTTGGCTATCAGCGGTGGCAGTTCGGGTTCAGCAGGAGCCTAGAAAAATAAAACATTTTTTAAGAAAATATCAACTATTTATAAAATAGCTGAACAACTTGAAAAAACACTATATTCAATGGAAAATGCCTCTCTGGAATAGTGGTGAATATTATGTAAGGAAGCTGCTCTCCTAGAGGTTTAAATGATCATTTATATTGTTCTTGAAACTTAAGAAAGTAAACAAGTTTCCATTTACCCCATTTGATAATTTGGATAGAAATGTTAATTTATTAAAATGATCCCGTTTAAAAAATTATGAGCAAATTACTACTTACTTAGATTTACAATAGTTGTCACAATATGAAAACTCTTGATCATATGGGTCTGTTGTTTCTCCTTAGCATTGTTGTTCTTACTCTGTTTGTTCACGGTAATGGTGTTTTCTATGAAAGGCTCCGCTTACAAAGATCGTTTAACTCTGCGTTGTATTTGTTGAATGGTCAATTTTTTTCTTAAATTCCGATTGTTTCTCACACAAAATGTTTAATGTGATATTAATTTGAAAATAATAGCTTACCTCAACTTAAATACTTAAATAGTGATTCTTACTAAAGGAAATGTTGATACGTATTGTGTAAATCTATGTAATCGAACTTTGAAGATTTTAAACTGAAAGAGTGTGCTTAAAACATTTACCGACGAATTAAAAAGTGAGAAGAGACATATCAAACGACATCCAAATATCTCTTTCTTTGTATTATAAAACAGCATAAGATGTTAGTTTCGTATTTGGACCTATGGGGGTTTTATAGTTTTCTACAGTATGTTTAATCTTACCTGGGGCAGATGGTCTCCGTGAGCTACGAAGCCGTTCTCGTCAGCTGTGTAGGAGGTGGTGATGACTGTACCATCAGGGGCGGTGTAGGAGTACTGCCCCTGGATCACCTGGGCCTGCTCCTTTGGACTCAGCTGCTTGACACCACCAGTGGCTTGGAGGGCGATACCGTTCTCCGTCTCGAAACTGAGGACGAAAATGAACTTAAGGGGTTGAATGTAAGGAACTACAATAACCACCTGATAAATTGTTATATGAGTCGTAAAACACCTGAGATACAGATTTGAGAAGGGACGCAGACAGTCTTAATCCTCAAGATCGCGAATCAATGATTCAGAGAGAACAAGTTATAGGTTTTCTTTACATATTTAAGGTGCAACTGATGAGGTAAAGATGATATTACAATTGACAAATACATTATGTATGTAGTTACACAAATGAAATTCTTTGAGTTTTAGCTTTCACCGTCAATTAATTATAACTTGGTTTTTGGGATGTACCGTTATGATAACGTTGCGAAACTAACTTAACAGGGTTAATACTTCTAAAAATATTTGTAGGTAGCAGATGGAAAAGGATTTTCTTTAGCATATTAAGTGTTTCGTTATAAGAATTAAAAAGTGTTGAGTGTTTTTCTCAAATATTTTTGTAATAAAACGTTTTCAGAAAACATCAATTGATTTGTCTAGATGAGAATCTGGTAAAATTCCTATTATTAGTCAAAAAGTGTTTTACTTATCCCCGAGCGCAACTATTAGATGTTTTTTTTTTTCATTTTGACATGACCTCATGTAGATATTACTGCAGAATTTAATGGTCATCCGAATTGTTCTAACGTAACTGATTATTAGGCAACGGAGTTATAAAAGTAGAAGAAGACCATACCCCTACGAAATAATCCTTTTTAGCCAGCTTTGTAAATTCTGTCGAGAAAATGCGCAAAAATTATAGTGTGCAAATCTTGTCTAAGTCATGCTAACCCCTGTATTATCCCGAGTAAGAACTTACTCGTAAGCGAAGCTGCCGTCAAAGTTGTCGTCCAGGCTTTGCCTGATAATGGCCCATGTGGGGACCTGGTTCTCATGCACGTTGTACTGCTTGACTACGGGGGCGGGTGGTGCAGGTGGGGCGGGGGCGGCGAACACCTTGGTTTTGATCTCAGGGGCTTTGTACTCCACCTGTTGAAGCTGCACCTGGGGCTGGGGCTGGCTGAACTTGACCTGAACTTGCTGAGGTTGAGTGAACTGCTGTGTCGTGTACTGGAAAAAGTAAATTTGTAATGTGGTAAATGTAATACATTGCTGAATCAGATGTTCAAAATATTAAATGCAACCTCTTAGAATACCAGTAAAAAATGGAGAAATAATTTTTTATTTGTATTTTTTTAGATTTCAATACTTTCGACTGAACATTTAGTCAATACATAAAGTTTTTAATTTTGAACAACTATTTACAAGACCTGTAAGATAGTCAATTCGATTACTTTTTTTAATTTTTAACAAATTATACAAATAAGATCAATGTTTCTTATTACTTCTTGAGTATATTCAATCAATGGTAAATGTGATAAACTAACGTTTTTCTCTGAAATCCACAGGTACATGCAAAGTGTGAAAAATAAAAACCTCATAATATATCAATTTAAATATGTACAAAAGTTGTGTACCTGGTATTCCTGTGCCTGAGGGGATGCTAGGATGTAGGCGAGCTGTTGGCCCTGGGCCGGGGCTGAAGCGTACTGTCCTCCATAACCCTGCAGGTACACAATCTGGGCACCAGCGGGGATCTGTTGAGCACCCTGGGCGCCTACGAAAACGATTATCAAGTTCAAGAAAACCTTTGATACAATTACTAAAATAACGTTGACAATCAAAATTATCTACGTTTAGCTTAACTCAAAACATTAATGAGTTCCAGTTTATTACATATTTGCCTTGGTAGAAATGTACAGTAGTATTGTTGGCATCGTCTCAAATAAGCTAATATTTTGGTTCTGATTTCAAAACTTATTTACTTGTAGTAGTTTATTTAATAATGTATTATTTAGCAACCAGAGGATTTAAATGTGCCAGTCATATTTTTACTTATTTTCTAAATTAAGAATTCTTGCAATCAATGTCATTATACAATGTAACGTAGATCTGATAGTAAAATGTATTTTATTTTATAGTTCATTTAATAATTGGTTGATTCAACATCAGCTGGGTTGGACTGTGTGTTTTTACATGAATTACTCAGCAAACTTTGCATGTAATGTGAAGCAGTATTTTAACCATCATAACTATTAATATAGTTATTTTTTTCGCAAATAATTATTTTTATTTATTTGAATATGTTTACCATTACCAAAAATACCGAAATTATAAAATGTATAAAGTGTTTTCAAAACTAAATCGTTAGTCAACATATTGGTATAGATCATATTTAGTAACGTATACAGTATACACGTATTAAGGAAGTTTCTTAGACATTGAAGCTTAAATAAAATAGTGGATCTTAATCTAGTAGCCAGTAGACGTTACCTCCCAAGACGAAGGCCTGGGCTGCCGAGCGGGCCTGAGGCTCGGACTCCTGGACCTTCTGTGGAGCTGGGGCGGCGGATGCTGCGACTAGCAGGGACAAGCAAATCTGGGGAAGATATAATAGTAAGCTTAAAAACTCTAATAATGGACAGTACATAACATTAACCTTAGTTAGCCCTTTTTTAAAACAGTACATAAATAGGCTAGATTTCAATGTTGTGTTCCTAACATCACTGTAATTTCATCTGACCAATGAGGTTTACCGAATGCAAAATGATCAACGCATCGATTATGTAACTGGATTATATAACATGATTTTTGGTAGGCCTAACTGGCCAAACAACAACTATATTGTATTGCTCACTATAAATAAACAGTAAATTTATCTGTATTTATTTGTCTATATAAAAATACAATATGTATTACGAATAATTAAAATAATCTTTATTAATACAGTCCATCTTGCAAAATACAAATCATAAATATGGAATGGCAACTGAAGTTACACTATCTTGCAAGAAAAGATTCTTAAGTGTATTTATAATAAAATGGGTCGATTTCAATAAAATTAATAGACAAAATCGGTCCCAATCGAGGCACATAGTATGTTCTACCTGATAAAGGTAGAATGTTTAAATTATGATTTTGACGATCGTCATTACAATAATTGACAAAGCAAGCACGTAGAATGAGAATATCCAACAAAGTGTTGTCATAAAAGATTACATTTTTGAAGAAAATACTACAAAAACTGAAAAACATCCAACTACATTACAGATTCTTTATCTCTTATAAACTATGGTGTACTTTTTTGGTATTTTTGAATGTTTTAATAACTTATCAATTTAAAATATTTTATGAAGACTGTGGTACTTTATTAACGATATATTGGCTATTAAAACTTTAACAAGTTACCTATATGGTATTTTATAAAAGACATTTAACATTATCTCCTTACATTTCAATTCAATGATAATGCACCTAATGAAGGACGAACAACTAGAAGGCATAGCATGATTAAACCTAACCTAACCTAACCTAACCTATAGTATCTGCTACAGTTAAGTCAGAGACCACTTACCACAGCCAACATGGTGGAAGCGATGCGAATATCTCGGTTGCCCGGAGATGTCGCTCCTTGAAGTATTTATACGTTACAAAAAACCGCTCAAGTAGGAGGGGACAAAGGTAGAATCATAATTTTAAAAGAAGTACGGCCTAACGATTCTGGGTGACCTCAGGGTCAAGGTCAGGACCGGGTCTATCTACGATATCAGACCACTCTTACGTCAAACAGGTGACTTGGCAATCAATCAACAAGGGTTCACAGTTTCCGTTACTCTAGTATACTAAAAATGTACCTGTAGGTAGGATTCGAGCATAGACCTAGTTCAGGCACAATGTCAGTGTACTACTGGAACAATAAGGGGTAGTCTAGTGTTATACCTCTTTCCAATTTTTTCGAGTTTCAGAGTTTCAAAGCTTCTAGTTCGAGCCCGAGTGGAAAATATTCTGGAAACGAATGCCATTTTTATTAGAGTTTCAATCAGTGGTGCTAACTAACAAATGGCCATCGATGGGTACTAAGAAAAACATTGCTTGGAACATCCTTACAACTATACCATTGGAGTAGGAATACACGAACAAAACAATAGTGAAGAAAATAAATTTGAGTTATTTTTGATGTAGTTAATAAACCATTATAATAGTATAGCCAAAATTAATTACAAAAATGGTCCATTTATTCAGGAATGTCATAGGCCTATTATTGACATCTTTAAGATCCCCTCGGTCTACACTCTGTCGACATCCAATGTTTTGAGGTGAGGTTTCCAAAAGTAAATATTGATTAGTCTCCATGGCGGGATGGGAAAATTAACTATTTACCTTTGCATATAAAATCGGAAATCGGATATTGGATGTCGGATATTTGATATTGTAAATCTTAATCGGAAATCAAAAATCAGAAATCACAAATCAGAAATCTTTGATCTATTTACCTATTTACCTATCTTTGATCTATTTAGCTTAGCCCCGCAAGCTTTCAAAGTTCTGAGGTTAGGCGTTTAAAAGTAAATAATGATTGGCCTCCGTGACAATAGTTGGAAAACTCATGAGACTTACGTTTTTGTTGGCATTTTACTGTAAACAAAAGCAGCGTTCAAATGCACTTAAGTTTCTCAATTTTACGAAACTGCTTAAAAAAATTAATACTATATAATTTTTTCATCACGAAAAGAATGCGTCAATAGTAAATAAAATTATTCATTGATAATTAATACGTCAGATTCTAAAACCATTGGCAAATCAACTTAAGTTTTGCTCCTTAGCTTTCACAATTGTTTCCTTGATATTTGTTTTTGGAAACATTTATTTCTCGGTTGTTGAGTTCCGGCGAGGTTATCAAATATGACTAAAAACTTCCTTATTTAAAGGGCTTTACAATGGTGTATAATAGTTTTTACCGTATTTCAAATTTCCTAATGTAATTCGATCATTATTGTGAAAAAAACATGGTAGGGCAAAGAAAATCTATTGTGAAGAATAATACATTTAAGTGCAGGCAACAAATAATTTGATTTTTTCTCGCATGCAACGCTTTGTTTATAACTACCAAGCTAAGACAAGAAACATAGTAGTAAAATGTTTTTGTGATAAAGTTACGGTTATCGTATATTTTTCATATAAGGTTTAAATTATCTCCCGGAATTTCTATCTTGTTGAATGGATTTAGTCAATAGATTCAGGTATTTTACTGATAACATTATCCAAGCGATAAGAAAACCAAGTGAACCAGTAGTCATATTTTAAAAAGATCTATCAGTCATATGTGGACAGTAATCGGTCAACTATGTCTTCGATTCGGGAGTATGTTGAAATGCATTTTATTTATGGTTTGTGTAACGGTAATGCGTCGGCTGCTCAGAGAGAGTACCAGAATCGGTATCCTGATCGCACCACCCCCAGTACTCAGGTGTTTACTAGAGTGCATCAACGTTTGCTGGAAACAGGATCGGTTGAGAAGAAGAAGAAAGAAGTAGGACCTGTGCATGATGTTGCAGCTGAAGAGGGTGTAATTCAGAGAGTTATGGATAATCCTACTACTAGTGTTAGGCAGCTTGCCCTTGAAACTAGTATGTCCCGGTGGAAAGTACATAAAGTGTTAAAGGACAATAACTTCCATCCGTATCATTTTACAAAGGTCCAAGGATTGGAGCCTCGTGACTTCGAATCCAGAAAGGAGTTCTGCCGCTGGCTTCTTCAACGTGATATTGTTGAATATCACTTCCTTAAAAAAATACTATGGACTGACGAATCCCGTTTTACCAGAGAAGGTGTGATAAATATTCACAACATGCATCTTTGGAATAATGAAAATCCAAAAGCCTCCAGAGAAGCTTCTTTTCAAAAAAGGTTTGGGATCAACGTGTGGGCAGGTGTGATTGGAGATCGGTTAATTGGTCCTCATATCTTCGAAGGAAATCTGAACGGTGATTTATATCTAGATTTTCTTCAGCACTCTCTACCTCAGTTGTTGGATGAAATTGATCCTCAACAAAGAGCTGAATTCATATTTCAGCAGGATGGTGCTCCACCACATTTTACTGAAAGCGTTCGGTTGTGGCTATCCCAAAACTACCCGACATGGATTGGACGTGGAGGAAGTGTGACATGGCCTCCTCGATCTCCAGACTTGAGCCCGTTAGATTTTTTTGTTTGGGGTTACATGAAAAGTCTAGTTTACTCAACTGTTGTAAACTCTGAAGTTGAGTTACGGGAGAGAATCTTTGAGGCTGCTGGGAAAGTAAGGGAAAATTGACGTATGAGGTCACAGTTGGCGCAATCCGCAAAAGAGCTAAGGCCTGCTTGCGGGAAAACGGTGGGCACTTTACACCCAAACTGTGATTTGTGCTTCGGACAAAGTATGTCATTGATTTGTTTAATGTGTTAACTATCCTTTCATATTTAAATTAAAGTGTGTATTGTGTTTTTTACTAATGTGTTGTGTTTTTTAATTACAAATTTTCCAAAGTCTTAAAAAACTCTTTAGTTTGATGCAAGTGTAGTCTGGTCAATCATAAATTATACACACCCTCATCATCAGTGGTCAGCTCATAAAATAGTAAGTAAAAGTTTATTATTTTTTACAATATCTGTTTTGGCTTGACCGTGATTTTTCACAATAGTGCGTAAAATTCACCATGGATTTTACAGTAGGTAAATGTTGTTATACATCATTGTAAAGCCCGTTAAATAAGGAAGTTTTTAGTCATATTTGATAACCTCGCCGGAACTCAACAACCGAGAAATAAATTGCTGAATGTTATTTACATTTTCGTCGATATAAAAATAATTTGTTTAACAAAGAATTTTAAATAGAATATTTTTCCGTACCCCAACGATTAAGTGATATAGTAGATATAGTTTATATCTATTTAAAATTTTGTGAGGATTCTGAAAATGACATTGAAATTGACAGTAAGTGCATTTTTAACAGAGTAAAATAACCTTTTTCATAACAACTACAATAATTTTTGAAAAATCTTAATTTATTTTTTATCCTCTAACTATTGAAGTTGGGAACCTCAAATTTGCGACATTCTGTCACCATTACCATGTAGTTTAATGCAAAATTGTATTTAACACTTATGACCGGACACCCTGTATATTACAAACTAATATCATATTTTAAGGTTTTTTGTTGGTTATTCGTCAAAGCATGTGATATAGGGAAATGCCAACAGGGTGGATGGAGATCAAGTATGCTACTGTTCCTGAGTAGGTTTATTCAGTTTTAAGTGAAGCGAAAACCCATTTAGAAGACTATTCAGTTCAAAAATAATATATTACCAGCTGAGTATATGGATGACCCATTTAAGACAGCTGGATAATTGTGGCAGCTGGTACATGTTGTTGTATAAAGATAAAACTCTTCTTGTACATGGAAACTAATTTAAAAAATAGTTTAATAAATCTGAATAAATTAGTGACACTATAAACAACATCTAACACAACATCTAACAGTTAGCAAACGAAATTGAATTTGTCACAGATTGATCGTTAGAAAAATATCTAAACCAGCCAGTCAGGAAAATTAAAATATATAAACAGTTAAAGCGAAATTCCCTTATAGGGAATAATCCATTACGGGGTTGGAATATAAGTATAAAATGCTCTTTGCAGTTATACTCAAGCTTTGCGTTTGCAATAAGGGAGGACACAGTTTGATAAAATTTGTTTTTTTTTTATTTACAGTATTCTATAGTATTACACATCTACCATAGCCATAATGTTCTACCACTTCACCTAAACAATAGAGAAAAAAATTATCAACAATTCGCAAAATATCACAAATTATTCATGAAATGAAAAACATAAACATAACTGTAAACAATCCTTTGACAGTTTTCATTGCGAATCACCATCATCATCAGTTTTTTGTTGCTGCTTGGTTCAAATTAGCTGTTTTCATAAATGCAAAAAAATATAGTGCTGCACCCTGTTGGTAAATCTTAAAACTTTTAAATGCTTTTCCGTATCATAGAACCAACTTTTTTAGTTGAAACAGCTGACTAAATTCTTTAATTCCCTTTAAATATGAATACTCGTAAGGTTAACATGGGGAACTACAGAGTCACTGGGGCGGAGCCCGAAAGGATTTTTGAGATAAGAATATGTCTATATGTTAATCGGTAATGTAAGATATCATCATGCCAAATTTCAGCCCAATCCGTCCAGTGGTTTATGTGTGATTGAACTTCAAACACACAAACAAACAAACAAACTTTCACATTTATAATATTAGTAAGATATATATATATATATGTGTGTGTGTGTGTGTGTGTGTGTGTCCGTTAGCGCGATAACTCGAGCAAAAATGATCCGATTTCGATTAAATTTGGTACAAACAGGTAAACTTGCGTTTATTCGAACGAGTTCGCGAACCAGCATGATTGGACCATGGGAACGGGGGTTCATGGGGGCTTTTATGAAGTAAAAATGGGTTTTTCCCATTTTGACTTAAAAAACATAAAATTTCGCAATTTCTTTCCAAACGATTTTGTAGAGCTTAAAAAAACAAATAATTTAGTATATTGAAACGTTATAATGCGCCTAATGGTTACGGAGAAAATTAAAAAAAAAAAAATTTAAAATTCCCATGTTATTCTTATGGATAATAAGTAAACTGTTGTAGTTTGCTTGTTTATTAACATATTTTGCCCAAATTTGGAAAATGTTTTTATTTCTTACTAACTATTAACATTTTACATAAAAAAAACACTTTTACCCCCCCCCCCACTGTTGCAGCAAACCTAAGTATGTGTTAAACTGATTATATTTAAATAGGGAATAAATGCGATATTTTTAAGGAGACATTTTAGTGTAAATCCAATCAGGCAATTGGAAATTCGCTTATTCTGCAGGCTTGCTGCGGTGGGGGTATTTACTATCACTGCTGCTTTTTCTGTCCAATTGCATTATGTTGTGATATGTTTTTGATTACTCTATAACTTACAAAAATGTTTAATAGTCTATTTGAAATAAAACTGCTATTTTCCCTCTTTTTATGTTAACTGGCAAATTAAAATTATTCATACATATCAAACCTAAACCATTCCAACTGTAGAAGTAGAATATTCACATGGTCCTGACACATAATCTAACTTGTTTCCCAAATAATTGTTATTTAGATTACATAATATTATTCCTTGTTTTGTTTGTAAAGGCTACACCAAAGCACAGCTGGTTATTAAACTATTCTCTCGGTTAATATAACTTTTTCTTCCCATAAATCTTTGAAATAACAATGAATAATGAAAAGGTAAATTGGAAGTTGAGCTTGAATGGGAATATCAGTATTACATTATTAGTCATTGCAATCTAAGAAATTGAGAGAGACATAAAAAAGGCACAAAAAATACTGTGAATAGAAATTACAAGTAAATGAATTAAAATAGACGAAAAATACTTCCTCGATATCACAATAATGGTTTTCATGGATAATAATATTCAATTTCGCTACACATTTTACCCTCTTACCTTAAACGGATACATTACAAGTTTTTTATAATTAACGGGGTCTTGTAACATAAAAATGGCTTTGATGGAACTCCACCAACGAAGAGGAAAGACTATTCAGATTAGTAATCCTGCAAAGATGCGGGTTCAAATGTACTATATCATGTCCAGTGTACTCTGAACATGTCTACGATAAAGACTCCCGCCTTCACAGCACCTGCTTTGTGAATCTCGACCGGTTCCTGGCAGATGCTCTGGTCACAAGACAAAGGTCATGGTTCAAGGACAATATCAATCTAAAGAACATCTTTTTTGTCTGAAATATTAAAGTGTCTATTCATATTGCTTAGAAGAGTCAATCTTTATCGCAAGCTCATCAAAGAGTGTAATGGTTTACGTAAAATGAAATCGTAAAACAGGTTTCTTAAATGGTTAAGAACATTGTAAGGTTTATAAGGACATTGGGACTCAAACTAAAAAAAATATACTATATCCTAAGATTACATGATAGTTAAGTTACGGTCACTGTTGGTTTGTTGTATTTTCATATTTTTAAGTATAGGTGATTCTATTTTGATGATGTCTAAGGTGAAGTCTATTTTGTGTTAAACCCGGTTTTCAACCTTTTTTACATTTCATTTTTATTGTAGTGGTGTTTCTGGACCAAAAATTTGACATAAAATAAGGTTAGGTTACCTGATGTCGTCTTGTGACCACCTCTTGTCTATTTGTCCAAGGACATAAACTTAGACTTCATCAAAATATACTCACATATACTTATGAAGATAAATATACAACCAACCAACAGTGATTTTGATGTCACATTCCGATGTAAAAGTTAAGAACACAAGTCAATAGCAGACCAAAGAAAAACAAGGACATGTGCCAGTCATTATCATTTCCAACTCTATGGTAGAATTTTTGAAATGTGATTTTTTTCTATTGCTCGCTGTCAAATCTTATGATCTTACAGGAAAGGTTATGAAACGTTTTTTTCATCAAAATATTAATAGCATACTGTATTAATAAATTGGTAAAGTGTTATCGAAATATATCCACAAAAAAGCAAACTGCATCAGCTTTCTTATTCTCCATAAGAATAACACAGGGGATTTAAAATGTAATATTATTTAAACTGTTTCTCAATAACCGTTACAGATAAGGCAAATGTTGTCGTTACAATAAATATTTATCTTTTATGTTCTTCAACTTTTGTATTGTGAAATATCTGTATTTACAACGGTTTGTAGAATATAGTAAAAAAAAGTTAAAATAGGCAGTCATTTTTCAAGATGGTGGCCGTATTACAGCATGCACGGGTGTTGATTTATATATGTTGTTACTAGGTACTAGTACTGCACATGCAGAGTTTCACCATTTAGGGAAATATTTCCAGATAGAAGGGTATTTCTCCCTAAAATGACTGGACTATATGGATTTATGATACCATTTAACAAATATGGTGTTTTATGGTAACGAGACAAGGATTTTGACCTTTTCTTTACAAAATAACGAAAAAGCCAATTGAATAGAAAATACAAATATATAATAATAACTAAATATAATAATAATAATAATATAATAACTATATAATAATAATAATAACTAAAAGTGTTTGGATAGTATTTTCTCTTTAACATAAATGTTTCACTTTTTAAAGTTACTAAATATTATGCAACTATTAACGACTACGTGCTTTTAAAGATTAGCTTGACATGTATTTAAAGTACAAGCATGCTATATTACATTAACGCCTAGTTAAGTAAACGCCTTATGCATGTTGCACTTGAAAAACTTGCACTTGAGTTTCAATATTTTGAATGCAGGCTACTGATTAATTTACAAAACATAATTTTGGTTTCTTAGTAGAAGTCAATTATAATTAAAGAATTTTATTACGGAAAAATGCAAATCAAATTAAAATGAAACATATTATTCAATACTCTTCAGTACAATGATTTATCTAGGTTTCCAACAAATATAACACAGATTGTTGATGCTACATTAGTTTGAAGTCATTCTCCCAATCGCCCACTAGACTGCAGCACCTGTCCGTCTCTACAACATAATGACCCTATATTAGGGATATATTTTATAATTTTTAAAGTAAACTCTAAAAAATTGCTGTATATGCAAAGATAAATAGTTCAAGGAGAAGATATTAAAACCCATCCTCAATATTAGATGATACACTTTAATAGATTATTCGTGGCAGTAATAATAGTCAAATGATTTAACAATAGTGCAAATTTTTTAAACTTATTATTTACTTTAGAATGTAATATTGTTATTTTTGTAAGATGGACATCTCTAATAAATAGGCGATCTACATAACCAAGTTGAGTACCTTGTATATGATTTTACTTGTTTACATCTAAATATAGCGCCCAGTCCACTAGGACATGATGTTATCAGTGACTTGCCATTGATTATTAGTGAAATTTAAACTTGGACCAAGAAAAATAAACTCAACCGTAGAAGCGTTTCAATCACTAGAACTTTGAGTCAAAGAAATGTGGAACACTTTTGGTGTAGTAACTCGTCAATCTATGACAAAACTAAGATTACTTTCTGTGGCTGGGGTTTCCAATAAAATACACCGTTCTCTATTTACAGTTATGAAACTTTTTTTGATAGATCTACAGCTTGAGGTATTTTCTTGATCATCGCAGTAATCAATTAGTATCCGGACTCCTATGTTGATTGGTTGGGTTTGATCCATAGCTTCCAAACAGCAATGACCTGAGATGAACACTAGGTCAGCAAATTGCCTGATTTGCATGGAAAATACACACTACTACTTAACTAAACCCGTGTGGCACTCCTATGATCATGATCCGACTACGTAGTCCCTCAACCTTGTCCAGCTCCAAGCCAGAGGGGCGCAGCCGAGACTCCCAGCACATCCTGGACCTTGGGTATACCTTGACCTACCCGTTGTGTGATAATAATACTCCTTTTACTTTCCACAGTAATTGTTGAGGATGCCAAACGTGTATCTCTCAAGTACGAAGGAAATGCTGGGAAGGATGGTACGAGTGTCGAAATGGAGGGAAAGAGATGTTTTGGCAGGAGGTGAGAAAGAAGAGGCACAGAGTAAGGACAAATATGTATGAGAGTTAAACCAAATATATTACACAGGTATTGAAGTAGAATCTGTGTATGCTGGTACCATCATTTTCTCCTATTTTCGCTAACATTAATGGCTAAAGCTTGCTTAATTAAGGTAACTTGAACATTGATGAAAAATTTACCTCTATATCATGGTACTTGAATTTTAAAATTAGCCAGAAAAAAAGTCATTTATGTAAGAGAAATATTTAAGTAATGTTTGGAAGGTAGTCTAACTTGTTACAAATAACAAATCAATATCTTACATGTTATACCTAAGAAGAATAAATTATTACCCGTTTATTGTATGTTTACTAAACAAATAAACTAAAAAGCTATCCAAAACATGTTATTACAGTAACATGGTACAAGTTAGATGGTTAAAGCTTTAGCGCCTTTATCGACATTAATCTGAGCATGGATGTTGATGTAAATTCATTACAAACATCTTTGCTAATCAATTGTTAGCTACATATTTAATTGATTTTACTCCCAATCATCAAGTGAAATTTGATTAATATTATTTACTAGCAATAAATTCATGTTTTAGATATCTCCTAGCTTTATTTGATTATGATTGGTGACACCAGTACTTCTTTATTAGCATAGTCCAGTTGAATACTGTAGTATAGATGGTATATCCATTCAAAATTACATAATTTACTATTAGGTGCAAGTGATAACTTTTTTTAATATTTATGAAAGCTTGTGCGATATCATAATAAAATTATATGAATGTAAGTATCATGGAAACCACACGTAAATAGCTTATGCATACTTCTTCACTAAAAGAAGTACATACCTTTGTACTACTCTGTAGAGTTCTCATCTAATGGTTTTAATATGCAAATATAAAACTGTGGAGCATCATTTATAATAATTCTATAATACTGTAAAACAGATTAATTTGCATAATACAAAGTGAGTTGTCTTAGACCGAGCTGGGATTTGTGATAACGAAAAACACAATGATTGATTTTGGTAGAAAATTAAATATTTAATTACAAAATAGACAACACATTTGGGCGCGGGCAAGATGAAAGTTGAAGAATGGTAACTGTGTATGGTGTATGGTTGGGTGTCCAGGAATGACTCTATGTACACTATATCACAGAGCGTCGGATGCTGAATGGAGGAGATGTGTGTCTAGTACCTGAAAACACACAGATTATTAGTTACTAATGACATTTATATATCATGAGCGTATGGATTTAAGGTTAACCGTTTCTCAAATACAAGCTACCTTCTATCATTTGAGTTTTTTCTAGATACATATACAGTAGACTTACACCTTAAAGGGGGCCCCATTATCACATAGGGAAAAAGTCGTTGGTGATAAATAATATTTAAACACCGACCTACAGTGTTTCAAATATCATTTACTATACTACATATGGCACTATACAGCATAATATACTCTAATCACTAATTCTTGTTAAAATGAAGGGTTATTTAATATTTACGATCAGACTAAATTTAGGCATAATTTAAAATGGTTGTTGTAAAATAATTATCCCTTAATAATGCCTTCATAGCATGGTATAAATAAAAAGAAAAAGCTATGCCCACAAAACATCAATTTAATTTTTTTTTTTTTTTAAGATTAGGGGTTAAACAATTAAATTAAGTGCAATATATAACTTTTCGTTTAGGGAAATTTCAATTTTTAAATAGTTCTCATCTTTTGAGACTCGTTAAAGAATGTATATTACTAAAAAAGTGCAAATTTTGTTTGATTGTTATTTTGTTAATTTGATTAATATAATGGCATGATTAAGGAACTACCTTCGGTACAGTCTTAACATCTCTCCGTTTGACCTGTCTACCTCAGAAAGAAGTATTTAATAGCGTTTTAAATATAATAAAAGTATTTTAAGAATCTATCACTTCCGAGTGACTCTGAAGAGTCTTTTCCGGCCTCAAAATGCAAGTTCTAGATTGTCGATCAAACATAACTGATCTACACGAACGAGAACTGACACCTTAAGAAGACTACTTCTCAGAGTTAACCCAGAATACTAGATATAACTGCAATAATGCACGAAATAGGCTCTCAACCCTCGTTTATTATGTTTACAGCATGTGGTTTAAAGGTTAATAACATGATTGTGTTTTATTAATACCTATTATATTATAAATTTATTAGTTAATACATTGTCGAGAGTATTTATCTAGGAATATTTGACGGGGTAGTTATTTCGGTTACCTTTGGCCAGGGGTCTCTGGTGGGGGTGGGTGAGCGGCGATGTACTCCAGAGCTCTCTGGATTGCTGGTGGGATTGGTGGGGGAGTGGGGAGATGGTCACCCTGAGGGGCGAAGCCCTGCTCTCCGGCGGTGTAGACCAGGTTGATCACCTGTAAAAGTAATTTTATAGGTAACATAATTATTAAATAATCTTGATGAAGATTTGGAGTAACTGTGGACAACAGTTGTGGAGAATACAGCTGTTTTGATGAACATTTTGGATAACACAAATTGGTATTGAAACTAATCATAACTAATGAACTTATAATAATCTAGTATCGTTGTTTGGATATTGTGTTACAAATGTTATTTGATAACAGTCACTACTTCTTCTTCATCTACCGTATAAACCCTAAAGGCTGTAATACGTTTCACTCTAAAAGTCTAAGTATCATAATAATCAAACGCCAAATAAATAAATAGTTAAATAAATATTTAGCTATATAAATAGTTAATTGTATAAACAGCTTTTTCGATTATATCTATCGCCTGAACCCCCCAAAGGTTTTTTTTTTACATTAATGCACCGCTCGTTACTATACTATCTGAGGTTGAATATTAATCCGATTTCTTGAAGCTAATTAAATATTTAAAAGGTTGTTAGCGAAAAGCTTTTCAACCCCGAAAAGGTTTTTTACGTATAACCTATCCTTTATATTAAATTTCTTATCTTTTTATATGGATTTATGTTAAACTAGGCTCTAAATACTTGGGTTGAGGGACTTTATCATTACACAGGTCAAGCTATGGGTGATTGATTGGCAAGATCAGTAGTCCAAGTCTCCAGGGCAGAAGTCCCGTAGTCTAGCCACTAATATAATCATCCTGTTTTTTGAAGATGATATTTTTCATATTTTGACTAAAGTATTATTTACCTGTCCCTCGGGAGATGTGTAGCTGTTTGAGCCCTGGACACTGATGGCTTCGTTTTCAGCCCCAGCGTTCAACAGCTGGCCGGACTCTTCTCCTCGGATGCCGTTCTCAGTTTCATACCTGGAAAGAAACATTGTTAGTTTTCTTAACAAAACTTCTCCATGGTTTATGTGTTTATCAATGAAATAAATATATGCTATGTTGTAAGATGCATAACGCAAAATTCGGGATGAGATAGGTGAACAAATTATTAATAAACTAATGAAATGATAAAAATATATATATATGAAAGATGAAATAATATTACATACTCAACTTAGGAAATTGAGGTTTATTGAATGAATTTTCTATCACGATGATTTAAAAACAAGTTTTTACGAAGTTGTGATAGGTTGTTGGTTTTGACTACTACGCAACACTTCTAGTTGCGCTTTTTTTGACAATTAGCTAGGTTTGTGTAGTATTTTTATGCTCTACTCTCACCATAAAATCAGATTTAGGATTTCAAAACGTTATAAAACAAATCTTTCACTAACTGTAAGGAAAATGTCTGCATTTCCTTAAACCGAAACTTAAACTTAAGAAAAACTTCAAAGTAAGAAAATCTATTTTGGCTTCATCTAAAATCTCATCACTGGCGTACATATAAAAAATCTGTCACCTTAATATTGATTTAACTATTAGCTATTTTAGCAACTATAGTTACCAAAGTCTACAAAGGATTCATCACAGTCAGTAGTAAACATTGATCGAAACTTTTGTTCGCTATGGTGCAAAATAGCTTTGAATAGATGCGTGTAAGCAGGATATTGAAAATGTAAAACTATGTAATATCTCTGATGTTGTTTGTCTTGGTACTATTTATATATATTTATATATATTTTTGCATGGTTTGCTGTGTGACATTTTGACAGAAATGCTGTTGGTTTAGTTTGCAGTGGAATATTTTTATGTTTTATCTTTTAAGAAAATACTGAAATATTAATTTAAGTCCATAATTTATACAAAGCCTATTTTAAACATCTAAATGGCCGAAATAAATCTTGAATCTTGAATCTATAACTAGTTTTCAAGATTTATAAATTTAATAAAATTAGTTTAATTCCATAAATTGAAAGCTAATCACTTGTAATTTCTATGGGTAACTTCTTAAGCTATTTCTTCATTCTTCAACATCTAATAACAAGCTACGTGTAATAATAAGTTACTTGCACCATTATATACACTCTGCACGTTTATTGGTTTCTGTTATAAACAACAAATGCACTCGCCACGATCACGAAGGCCAGTTAACGATGACCACAAACCACGATAGTCCGCGGGTCACTGGATGAGAGGTCAAAGGGTAGCCCATTTTAAACCAAGAAGACCCCGACCTCTTACCCAACTTGACACATGAACCCGTTCATAAAGGTAAATGCCAGCGTGTTGTGAAACAAATATATCTTTACGTTACGCCCTGTAGGTGTTGGCCGATGCAACTATGGTATTGACTGAACTTAGATTGTGCCTAGAGGTGTGCAAAGGTGGGTATACCAAAATGAAATAATGATAGTGCATAACGTTTTTCAAATAATATAGCTTTCTTAAAAATCTAACCAAAATCTGTTAAAAGTTACCTGTAAAGCTGACAGCAACTAACACACATGGAAACCTTTTTCGCAATGACAGTAAATAAAGGTTAATTTGAAAATGTATTATTATCAACCAAATGTGTAACTTTATATTTTTTATATTTTCGCACTCCTTTGTCCTTTGTACATTAAATAGTAAAATTATATTTTTGTTTAAACAATCCATGACTTTAAAATTTGTTTGGCACAAACGCCTTATCATCGCTCTTAAATGCGTAATTTTATTAACAGACCTGCATTTTAAAACTAAGGTGACCATATACAAATATTTGTCCTAAATACAGAAATTACGTTTTCAGTTTGAGCTTTGCGAATTACTTTTAGTCAGAAAAACGAGTTCGCTATAGAGTGAAGTATTTCTCTATCTGGCCTAGAAACGTGAGAAAGGCTATTTGGTTGATATTTAATATATATCGTTTAGTATAATAATTATAGGTTTGTTTCGTTTCTATTTTTGCTAAATAAAATTATAAGTTATGTCATACAGCACCTTAATATTTAAATAATACATATTACACTGATGGTCTAGCCTTCAACGTAATATGTATGATGTAAAAATGAAGGGTAATGGAATTTATTTTTTATGTTGTGCATACTAACATCATGTTGTGCAAAACCATTATAAAAGACTTAATTTATATTTTAAAATCTTTGTGGTGCTATATTAAATAGGTTTACTCTTAACACAAATAAAAGTTGTTTGATTAGAGTAAATTTATAATAAGTTATATTATACAGTACATTATAATACTGTTAACTGTTAATTTGGTAATGTACAAGTTTTTTTATTTTAAATTTAAGACAAATACTAGGTTTACGGTTTAAAATTTCCACGTTTAAAATTTAGTTTTGATACGAATTGATATTATTGTATTAATCGTCTAATTTCTGAAGCATCTACAAATTGTGGCTGATTTCATATAAATTAAAATTTCTAATAGACATTTCATAAACAAACAAGCTGCAAGTGCATTTATACATGATTGCTAAATTTATGCAGCTGCATGAAACAATTTAAAGTTTCAACTATGTAAGCACGAACATGTTTTAACCACTCTATTAACACTCACAGGAATCTGTAAGATCCATCAGCGTTAGGGCCCTCTGACTCAGACCTGATGATGGCGATGGGTTTTTGGCCCTGAGGAAGCGCAGAGGCCACAGCGATTACCGCCAGCAAACACACCTGAAATACATAAAACGTTAAAATTGTGTCTTATATCAATTTTAGATGTATTAATAGTTTTAGTTTTAACAAAATGTTTTGTTCTTTGTTCACCAGAATGGTTGTAGTATTGCATCTCGATTGACTGTTTGTTACTCGTAACCTTACTTAACGTTGTCTTTTATGTCGTAATTCCTTTTAAAACCTAAGTTTATAATTGGATATTTTACAAATGAATTTTCCTATGGGTGTCAATATAAAAACAATCTTTTTATTTTATAAATGTTAAAATACACAAATGGAAAATGTGTATCCAAGAAATTTTAGATTATAGTGATTCGTCATTCTCAAATTTGATTTGGAAATGATTCTGATCATGAGGGATGGCATTACTAAGCTATAAATTAATTATTTTATTTAATAGTCCACTTAATAGATTAAATAATAATGTAGTAATAATATTGAACACAGGCTACAAAGATGATAATTAATACGTAAATGAAAAAATAGTTTAAATAAGCACTAACACATAATTAAATCAATGAGAGTTGAATGGTTTGTATGGAAAAAAGTATGGTCATTTTCTACCCACATCATCAGTAATCATCCAAGCAAGCTTATAAAGTTTACTACACCGGTAAAACCAGTCATTCAAATCTCTCAGAATGCATTTCACAGTGACTAGTAATCAGCTGTTTTGTGTCATCATAACCATCGTCTGCTAGTTACTGTGGCCTACAACTCGCAATACAAGCTTCACAACATTGCACAATCACGGTTGTAACCAAATCTTTTGGCGGGTTCGCGCCTTAAACGGGATTCGATTGCCAAAGTTCCCGCGAATTTCCTGTCAAGGCCCTTCAAGTTACGTAGCTTCTACACTCCCACGGGTTATGACATTTTTACGAATATCTTTATGGTTTGGGTGGTAATGTTGAACTCTTGCCTCACTGACCCCGAGAGCTTTCACTTCATCTGTTGATTCCGGGGAATTGATAATCGATGGTGGTTTGGGCAAAAAAAAAACATTTTCAAGGTTCATCATTTAAATTTCACTTATATCTTGCGTTGGCTGTTGAAAACTACAGATTTCAGAAAAATACGGATTTCTGATTGGGAATACCGAACTACAATTATTGTGATTAATATACTTTCATATTACTATTTCTGAGATATGATATTATTTATGTTTGTGTATATTGGCCTACTTAAGTCTACATAGTCGAGAGTAGACTTTAAGAAAGTGTCAACGGTTTAAAAAGATTAATTTTAGAAACCAATCAGTTAACTGCCTAGTCTGTATTTAGAGAGATTAAAACTAAGGCAGATGATTTATTTTATTATTATTATTGATCAGGTCAATTTGATAGGTCAAATTTGTTATTAGGTCATTGTATAAACAATGATGGTATTGCCTTATCATGATTTTCTCACGCATTCAGTAGCAATTAAGCTAGTACAATCACCAAAGCTATCAATATATTCATTTTAAGTTTTTTGGTATAATTAACTGCAAAATAGAGGTTTTGAGATATCTAGTTTATGCACGATTATATTTCATTAAAATGTTCAATATATGTTAACACTAGAAATGCTTAACAACATGTAATCTAACGTGCAATGCTCAGTGCGTGAGTGCTTGGTGATATTTTAAATATAGATACTTTTAGGAAACGTTAGATATTTTTTCTATGCAGATTAGATATTGGCTTACAAACGTTGGCTTTTCATTTTATAAACGTTTAATTCAAACATGTTTTTTTTTTATAAAGTCAAATTAATCAGAAGCGTTTTTAGACTCATTTAAAATAATTTTATTTATGAGAGTATGTCACTTTGTAAATTAACAAAGATTAAAAGCTTCAAATATCGATAATTAGTTAAAAATAGTTATTCAAGTAAATTTAATATGCACACGATGTATAATTTCTGGTTGCGAAAAGTGAAACAAGGCGGACTATCGATGATTATAACTCTTTCAATATGTGACGTTTACGCCCGGTACAGACACCATCTCACAAAAAACTACCATCAGAGACTAGCGTTATAAAAACAAATATTATAGTTTGATAAGCTTAAGACCTATATATTAATATCATCTATATATATAATAACAATATAATACAAATTAAGTAATTACTTGTATATTTTTTATAAGATGCGAGCTTTTGGCAACAAAAATAAAATAGACCCTCAAAACAAAATGAGAAACCAGTTTTAGAGGCAATGAACCACGGGCTTACGAGGCAAATGCTCAGTATACTATCATAAATACGTATTTGGATGGTACTTAATACGACAAACTATTAGTGGAAATATTTGAATTTTAAAAATATTTACATTTTTTATATTTGAGTTTAAACGTACAATTACTACTTGATTGTCTTTGAAATTCTTATAAATTGAAATATAATCTCCCTTACAAAAATTAATTAACGACCGGGCAATTAGTTTAATCAACCAACCAATTTTGTTGATTAACGTGTAACCATAATTACCTGAACTAATCCCTGCATGTTGTTTGGAGTCACACCACGAATATGATAGCAGTGGCGTTGGTTGTCTATTTATATGTTGAGAATTTCATCAGTTCTGTGGAGCCCCTCCCCCGCCATTCGCCTACCAAATGCACTACCACCACCACCACCACCAACCACATCGACACCACAACCTTCTAGATGCAGATGCACTAAGGTCAAAGCTATCACTGCCACGCCTCCAGTGGAGATAACACTACAATAGTGGACGCTCCTTCGGTTCTTCTAGGCTATGTTATTAGAGCTCTAGACAATTAGATAAATCATTTAGTATTACTTGTATTGACATAAGCTTTTGGATTCTTTTAATAGTTCCTCCTTTTGCGTCTAAGGGATATGAAGTTTTATTTGGCCTTTATCACCCTGTTTACAAAATATTTAAATATTTTTTCTCGTTATTATTGTAGAAAACGAACTAACCTCTTACCTAATAATTAACAATTTTTAATATTTTAACGATTGGAGGAAATTAAATGGTAAAATTTGCTCTATAGTGAGCATTAAAATGTTATTTTTTTTAATATGAGCGTGTTATTGATTTTATCAGTTTATAACCAATTGACAAAATTTAAGTTTTTCTTTTATAAGTGTTTTTTAACGAATCTTTGAATTTCTTTGGACTTATGTTATGCTTTCACAGACATGTGCTATCAAATTAGTATGCAAAATGTATGGATATGTATGGATAGGATAAAATACGACACGGTGTATGTTTGTAAGATATGTATTAAAACAAGCAGCTCCTACCAGATATTATACAAAACTATTATAATTATGAAAAGAACATTTTTGGTTTTATTTGTCATGTTGTTTATGCGTTCAAAATACTTAATATTTACACATTTTAAAATAAAATATAGTGAAATATCAGTCATAGAAAAGGTGTTGACCTTGGAAGGAAACCAAAGGTAGTTCGCATTAACCTTGCAGATATCTGTATTGAAAAATATGTGAAGGCGAATCGTCTAATATCAAAAACAATTTTAGGTTGATCATTATTTTAAAACTTTCTAAACATTCTTTTAAAGTAGCAACACACTGATTATTTCATTTCATTTCATTCATTAAAGTAGCAACACACTGATATGATATTTAAGGAATCGATATTACAACTGGTGTAGAGTTATTCTAAGAACCATGTATGTCTACAGATTGACATTTTTATTTCCTAAATAAGACCGTTAATTAATTGTCACTTTCAAAGTGATCTATGTCAATAACGTGTATGCATACTATAATTGACTCTTCTGCCCTTCTTTGGTAATTTTCTTCTATATATTTACACATCATGTACCATGTAATATCAAGCTAAAATATCTCAATTTAATGTTAAAACTTGAACAATTTTCTTCAAACTATATTTTTGTAATTCTATGGATTCTGGTTCTTCAGATGTTTAAGTGTCATATTAGTCAGGAAATTGAAATTTATGATCAAATTTGACTTAGGTAATTTATGTAGTTTGTAGGAATTGTATTTATGTAAACTATTAGCAATAACAAAATAATACCGGTTTAAAAACGCATTCTAAATTACAACAATCATTGTTCTTATGTTGATTAAAAACATATTTTAACTATAACGGTTTCTTCAGAGAAAGGCTTAAAGTCTGCTCTACTCATTAACCAGGCCAGACACATTGACCACCAGATATAATGAGCTGTTAATGTAACCGTTGCATTAATCCGACTATTATCTAATATGAAACAACCGGTTCCATAGCCTAGTACATAGTGGTCGACCTAGTGACTGCGATGTGACCTTGTCATGGCTTGCCGGTCAAAGAGGTTTTGTAATAAATGAATTTTCAAATGACACCTTCAATTCATATATTGAAGACAGTGATATTTGTACCACTATTAAGATAAGTTTCCCACGTATGGAGACGTTATCTTACGGTAATGGAAGATCTTTTTTTAAATACATTTCTAAAATTAATTACCATTGTGATAGTGTTGACCCTTTAATTAGTCCATGTATATAATCCCGTCACTATTACAGAAAATATCAAGTACCTCCATTATAGGTCCATTATTTAATTTTTTTTACAACTTTTGGCAAAATATATTTCATATTCAAGAAGCTCGGATAAGACATCCGGTGCTTTGTCAAGAGGGAAACGATCATGCTTATCAAAAGCACACACTGCTTGAAAAAAGATTGTATTAAGTGCTTTATTTCAGACAAGAGGTGATAAGGTTTATCTGTCTAATGATATTTAATCAGTGTTCTCAATTAGGATGTCATTCATGTGGTGGATTTGCTAAAGCTACATACAGGTGTACACATGGTATGTATCACAACAATTACTATCAGTAAAAGTAGGTAATTGGATCCTACTTAAATTTTATTCTACTTAAACTGTGAAATTATACATTTATCTTTTTATCTTTTTAGATACTAAAAACAAAAGGTACTATTAACAAAAATTAATTTCCTATGGTAAAAACCCGTAGACAAAAAAAAGTTTTGTTTTATAATGCCCCTTTGTAGGAAAAGATATAGGCTACTATCGTTGTGACATTCATAAATAATATGTTAGCTGGGATTAAAATAGCTTGGATTTAAAATCGTTGTTAAGTATGAGAATTGGCGTATAAGTAAGGAATATATGTTGATGAATTGGCATGATACGAATCGAACTGGCTTGGCCTTAAATTATACCGTTCGTTTTAATTTTGCCTACAGTAGGTTGTATGGAAATCTTTGTTTTTGACGGAGTGATATTCAAATAGTTAAATAATAAATTAATTACAATTACAAACACAAGTTTTCCACATTGTTTTTCCCTTGGTCGTTGATGTCATTTTTCATGTTTACTTTATTAACTAATTTAAAAACCATCGTTTCTTACACTAAAACGGTAGTGATAGACGGCAAGTACAAAGAAAAATAGTAATAATCTTCTGTGTGTTTTTATTCATTTACAAACTGAAAATATTCACTATATTTATTCTTGGTGAGTATTCAAGTTTTTTGGTTGTATGAACCTCTTAACATAATCCTTTGTGGCTGTTTTTAGTTTAGAAAACTACAAATGCGTTAAAAATCAGTTACCGTTATAATACCCAATGGACAGATACCGGAATCTAAATTATCTGATGGCTAGTCTAATATTTTCAAGCGATATTATCTTGAGATGATTATGTGAACTTGACTTGACTCTTAAAATAATCTCCTTTTATTACGAGATAACCGGATCGGTTACTATGACTTTGGTTACACAACCCATTGTAGTCATTGATAACACAAACTCAAACCATTGACCTCATTTCTGTGTTATGGTTTTTTAATTTCTCAAGTGACAACTTTACAAATATCTATATTTAGCTTTATTTTTGTACATTTATCCACTGCTTACTAATGCTTGAATTAGTACTGCAAGACATATTGCGTTATTCGTGTTTTACTCTTGTAGTATGTGTATTGTGTATTGTGTGAGTCTCACTCCAAATAGTTAATATAAATAGAAAGTTAAATATTTTTATAAGACCAAGTTATGTGGCTAAATAAGTAATGACAAGACAAGTATATCAGGTGTTGTACTTCATAATGAACTTATAATTTAAATACATTGTTCTTCTATTATAATAATTTGACATTTTGTTTCAAATATTCGTTTGAGATGAATATTTGTTTCAATAAAAGAGGTGTGAAAATAAAGTTTATGCTTCAAAAAACTTGTTAAAAAACATGTTATTTTTTCCCAAATTCACCGAGATTCCCTATTATGTTTTTATTTTTGTAATTGCACCGTAAGCATCCTATGCTACCATGCGTTTTTTGCAACGCCGATAGTAATCCTTGTCTTATCTTTGTGTATTTACCAAAACAATATGTGTTAGTAATCTTTATCGGTTAGTAAAGCGGTAATCTTTTCCAGGCTCCCTTACTGCGTACACTCGTAGTTTTGACGGTCTCTTTGGAATGTATTCATGCTGCGAGGATACTAGGGATGTTTCCCATGTGGGCGAAGAGTCACCACAACTTCTTGCGGCCCGTCATGCATGAAGGCTCTAGCAGCTGCTGTGCATGAGGTGGTCAACTACACACCCTTCCCCCTGGACAAACCCCCTCCCAACTACACCGATATCTTCCTGGAGAACATCAAGCCTGATTGCAAGGAATGTAAGCTTAGTGGAGTCATTGTTTAGTAAGACGATATTCTTCTTTAAAATGTGCCGTACTGAATTATGTGTCCACCAGAGAATAGTTTAGATGGTCTTAAAATGTATTTGATTATATTTATAGCAATGGAATCGGTTTTGAGGGCCAGGGTTCAAATCCAACTAATTAACAATGGTCTTTAACTATTAAATAATAAGGTAATGAGGCTATACGTATGTTCCGTAACAAAACGATATGCCCCTCAGACAAGAATAGTCACTGTTTTAGGACAATCAATTATTTTATAAATAATATATAAATCATTTATTGAATCTAAATTCAGTTTTCTGTTGATGACCAGTCGGAACAAAAAACATTTTAAAGGACATATATTTTGTACCAGCGTAAAAAATAAGGATAAACTTCATAAAAATATAAAATAGATCATTAGTAGTTAAGTGACCAATAAAACATAGTCTACACAGTAAACTATATGCATTTGTCTGCGATGAACTTTTGGTATACTGGTAGATAAATTTATACTTTGTTTAGAGCACAATAAACATAGAAAGCAAAAAATGAATGTTTTTAAAAACATACTTAGATGAACCTGTTAATACTCATGCAATACATAAATCACATACAGTTTTTGACGATGAACCTTGAAAAATACTATTATTGTATTATTGAAGGGTAGTTTAGAATTTTACATAATAGATAAAAAATTTCAATTCTTAACTGTAATATATGATTTTAAATACTATTCAATTTTAATAGCCTACTAATTTAATTACTATACATATTCATGTATTACAATGACCACTATCTATTTTCAGTGGCAGACTACTTCATAGAGATCACTGACTTTCCGGAGTGGAAATGTGTCGACTTGTATTGGCCACTGCATCTGTTAACGTACCCATGGTTCATAGAGGATCCAAAGGTCCAGGAGCTGCTCACTGGGAAAGACAAATTTGACTTAATATTCATCGAGGGGACAACAGTACATGAGCACACTCTCGTAATGGGGAGAATATTCAACGCTCCAATCATATCGCTCCAAACGTTTGCCCTGAACAATTTTCTCAACAGTCATGCTGGAAATGACTATCAGCTCTCTTACATACCGGATACTTGCCTTTCCTTATCGAACAGGATGAGTTTTCAAGACAGACTTTTCAATGCGTTGACGAGTATCAGAGGGTTGTACCACTACCACAACTCTCAACTTAGGTCGCTGGAGGCGATGATGAAGAAGGCATTTCCAGATCTCCCACCAATCGCTGAGATGGCAAGGAATATATCGTTACACTTCGTCAATGACCACGTCACTGCTGACTATGCCCAGCCACGGCCACCCAATGTTATCGGTGTTGGAGGCATACACATAGAGCCTAATAAACCTCTACCAAACGTAAGTTAATAACAACTGATTTACGTCCAGCGTAGATTAATAGTCGTAGTACTTAATACTTTTATATTTTTTTATGAAATACTGACCATACAAAGTAGGTATTTTAAACCAAGTATGAATGGAGATGAGCGTAGGATGAGTGGCGCGATCTTGTAGTTGAAATAAAATCAAGAACTAAGTTAAATAAAACCAAATTATCAGCTGATTCCAATATATTACACTTTTCCCTCCTCATCGTCTACCGCACCTTCTCTTCTTCGCAGTTGATCCGAATGTTTTCTTTTTATCACTCCACCACACATGACTTCATACGAGTATAAGCCATTGCGTTTGACTATGGTTCCTGCTATCCAACCAGGGTTATTCTCTTTTTTAATCCATACTTCTTCCCCTTCACTGAATGCTCTTAAGGTTTTCTTTTGAGTTGGATTTTGTTGTTCCTTCCAAATTTTCAGATCTAATTGTTGTCTAAGGTTTGGTTTCATGTTGTCCAACATAGTTGGCATTCTTCGACCAAGAAACAACTCTGCAGGGGCTCGTCCTGTTGTTTTTTGTGGGGCATTTCTGTAACTGAACAACACATTTTGCAATGCCAATGAAGAATCATTAATTTCTTGTTTTGTTGTTCTGTAACGCCTTTTCAAAGTCCCTATTAGACGTTCAACTAAGCCATTACTTCTAGGATGATAAGGAGTAGTTCTTATATGTCGAATTGAATGTCTCTTGAAAAATGCTTCCATTTCAGTAGAGACAAACTGTGGCCCGTTGTCAGTTACTACTTGTGATGGTATCCCATACCTGCTCATCCACGATCTTAATCTTTGAATTATGGCAGTTGAAGTCGTTGTTCTTAAACATTCAACTTCTGCCCACTTAGATAGCGCGTCAATCCCTACTAACCACATTACTCCATCAACTGGTCCAGCTAAATCCAAATGAACTCTTTCCCACACTTTTTCAGGAATGTTCCATGGATAGACCGGGACTTCTTCAATGTTTCCTCTGTTTTCTTGACATGCTTCACAAGTCTTAACATGCATTTCAACGTCTTTGTCAATGTCAGGCCACCATACATAGTATCTGGTAATTGATCTCATAGCTGAAATTCCAGGATGGCCACAGTGCAAAATTCTCAAGATTTTCTTTCTCATATTTGTTGGCACAACAACTCTACCAAACCACATCAAAACACCATCTTCAACTGATAATTCTTCTTTCCTTTGTTTAAATGTTTTAATGTTATCTGGTACCTTCTCTGGCCATGCATTTAGCACATAACTTTGTACTAATTTTATCTCCTTGTCCAAACTGCTGTTATGTTTGAGTTCCTTATAGGACACCAATGTCTCAACTTTATCCATGTTTAAAAACTTTATGTCCCTTACATCGGTAGCTTCTTCTCTGATTCTGATGGGAAGACGGGATAGTGCATCAGCACAAACGTTTTCATCTCCTTTCCTGTACTTGATTTGAAAATTGTACTGATTAAGTTCTAGGGCCCATCTCACCAACCTATTGTTCATTACCTTTGGAAGATTCCGGTTTTCTCCAAATATTCTTTGAAGGGGTTTATGATCGGTGACAAGTGTGAAGCTTCGTCCATATACATATTGGTGAAACTTTCTTACAGCAAATAAAATTGCAAGTGCTTCTCGATCAATATTCGAGTATCTTTTCTCAGCATCTGAAAGAGTTCTGCTAGCATACGCGATTGGTTTTTCCAGACCATCTTCACACTTGTGCATTAGGACACTCCCAAGACCGTCTTCTGACGCATCACACACCAACACTAGAGGTTTGGATTCATCATATGGAACAACTGTGTCTTCTTCCGAAAGAATCATTTTGACCTTTGTAAATACTTCATCTTCTTTCTCTGTCCAGATCCATTTCGATCTGTTGCTGGTAAGTCGATGTAACCTTGAGCACAGCGCATGCAACCTAGGGATAAACCTTTCATAATAGTTTATGGATCCTAAAAAAGACCTAAGCTGTTTGACATTTGTAGGTTTAGGTGCCTTTTGTATTGCTTCAATCTTCTCTTTTGTTGGATGGATACCCCGTTCATCGATAATGTGTCCAAGATAGGTGACTGAATTCTGCATGAATCTACATTTTTCTTTCTTCGCTTTTAGCCCTGCGTCACTCATTCGTTTTAATACTTCCTTTAAGTTCATGAGGTGTTCTTCTTTGTTTCGGCCCGTAATGATTACATCATCTAGAAGTACCCCCACTTGTGGTATGCCTTCAAGGAGCTTCTCCATGTATTCCTGAAAGATACCTGGGCTGGAGGTTATACCAAATGGTAGTCTCTTGTATCTATAGTATCCAACGTGCGTGGATATTACCAGATATTTTCTGTCTTCCTCCGATACTTCCATTTGGCGTTATGCATCTCTCAAGTCGACAACTGAATACTGCTTCCCTCGAGATACTTTATTCGTCAGTTCCTCAAAAGTTGGCAAAAGTGTTGTATGGGTAACGATGTTTGGGTTTAAGGTTACCCGAAAATCTCCACATATTCTAATTGTGCCATTTTCCTTCTCAACATTTACTGTTGGTGTTGCCCATTCGATAGGAGTTTTGGAAGGATCTACCTTTTCTATAACACCATCACTTACCAGTCTGTTTAGTTCTTGCTCAACTCTACTTCTTAGTGGAAAAGGCACTCTGCGAGCAGGAAAACACCTAGGCTCTGAGTCACTCTTAACATGTATCTTCGCCTGATAGCCTTTAATTGTTCCCAATTCTTTCTTAAATACGTCACTAAACTCTGAAATAACTTGGTTAATTTCCTCTTCGGTTACTGTAGAAGCATTTTCATCTTTATTGGTGTTATCCAACTTACGAATCGTAACACTAGGTGGTAATTTCATGTTGAAGGCAAGCATCCATGGTAATCCAAACAAAGGAGATTCGTTTCCATTTACCACAGCCGCCTTAAGTTTCCTAATCTGTCCATCAACTTTAACATTAACTTCACACTCTCCTAAAACATCCAGGGTATTGTTTCCATAAGCGACAAATTTTGTTTTACATGCCCTCAAATTTGGTGATCCAATTTGTTTCCACAGGGGTGCATCAATCATTGATGCTCTAGCTCCTGAATCAAACTCCATGGTTGTTGGTACTTCATTTAGGGTAACATTAATTTGTGCTCTTGGGATCTTCCTATTAGGTTTAAGTTCAGAAATTCCTAACTGTACCTCTTCTTCCTCAGATTTTATGTCTGTGTCGTTGATTTGGTTCAAATAGGCCTTTTTTGAACGACAATGTCGCGGAAAATGACCCATCTTTCCACAGAAGTGACATTGTTTTGTCTTTTTGGTTCCACATTGTCGTGAGAAATGACCTTGCTTTCCACATGAAAAACACTTAGACTTTTGAGCTGGACAAAATTCTTCACTGTGTACTAGTCCACACTGATTACAACCTTCTGTAGAATGGCTGTATGTTTCTTTTGCCAAAGATCTATTTTTCTTATCATAGTTATGTACCTTGTTAATTACAGGCATAGCTTCTTCTAAAATATTCATTTCCCGCTTAGCTCTATCCATCGCTTCAGCTAAATCTACCAACTCATTTAAAGTTAAACGTGAACCATCTTTATTTATGCCTTCTGGCCACCTTTGCCTGATTTCAACTTCAAATTGTGGAAAGTTAACGCCACCAGCAAATCTATCCCTTACTCTTTCCTCAAAATACCTGTCGTATTTACAGTAGGAGGCTAACTCTTTTAAACGCAAGACGAAATTTGAAAAACTCTCATCATTTCCTCTCACACATTTTTCAAAGTCTAGTCTCGCTGCAAAGATTGTTTTACTAGGTTTATAAACACACCGAAATGTATCAATCAGTTCAGTCATTGGTATGTCATAAATTTGCCTAGGTAAAACGAAGTTAGATACCTTTTTGAGGGGTACAGGTCCAACATATGCTAGAAGAAGATCCCTTCTTGCCTCCTCAGTTTCATTACTGTCATCACCCAATCCCTTTACCTTGCACATCAATTGGAAGTGAGCTTCATAATCCTCCCAGTTCAATTTTTCATCATAGGGTTCTATTGAAAACTTTTCCATTCTCTTTCGCACCTCTTCTTTATTGTTCCAACCAATATCTTCACATCTTTGGGTTCGTTTTTTATTCATCGTCGCCAGTGAAATAAAATCAAGAACTAAGTTAAACTCATTTAATCATAGAACAAAACATAACATTATTTGTTTACATGTTCATAATAAACATAAAACCAAATTATCAGCTGATTCCAATATATTACAGTAGTCTTTTTACTGACTAAGGTCGACATATTCCTTGGACACAGCTGTTAATTAATAGGCCGTATAGCTAATGACAACTAAGGGGCCTACAGTTTATAGTAGAATCCGAACCACATTTTTGCCTTGGTATTAACGAATAAGTCTAATTGTCAAGATAGTACTGCGGATAGTCGTAGTACTCACTAGTGCGGACGTAAATCCACACCAGGGAGTATCGAATCCACAGTGCATGCCTATAAATATCCACAATTCGTGACCTCCTAGTAGCTGGATTACAGGACGACGCCATTGTCCCAGTGAGTATAGGTTACTGTATTGATTTTACAATATATTACAAGCCTATATTAAACTAAAACTGGGTTAAGTATTTCAGTGTTTTGTGTAGCTAACGTTGGAAATATTTAGTTAAGCCGTTGGTTAATATTATTTCAATACTTCTCCTGTACTTTACAATTGCCAGACTCTTATCCAGAGGTGGGTCACAACTCTTTACTTGCTTTTAAAATTCATTTTACAGCACAACCAACCATAAATACATGTTTCAGGAATTAAAAAAGTTCATGGATGAAGCACCAGCCGGTGTTATATTTTTCAGCCTGGGCACCTATGTCAACGATGATATAAAACCAAAAGAATACTTTGATATGTACATCAATGTATTCAAGCGATTTAAAGAAAGGGTAATCTGGAAGACGAGAAAGGGAGATATTGAAGGTCTTCCGCCAAACGTGTTAACTTTAAAGTGGGCACCTCAACCCGATATTTTAGGTAAAAGATATTTCAAAATATGACCGTAGTACTCTTAATACAGTTTCTAGTTTTTCCTATGCATTTTTGGTCTGAGGATGGAGGTTGTAATACGTATATTATTAATTTAAATACTGGATCAATTAACGATTAAATATGTCAACAAAAAAAAAATGAGGTACAGTTAAACACACTGGAAAAACTAATATCTTATCGTTCAAACTAGGGTTAAGTTCTTCACTTGACGAGAAGTGTGATATTTCGTATAAAAGGTACAGAGAAACTTTATTTTTAATATTTAACGTCTAATTATTGTTTCAAGACACTCTAAAATATGCAGGCCATATGTAAAAATGCACACAACTTTCAAATTGTAAACAATACTATACAGTACTTAAAATTTACATTGTTGGCACCACACATAATCTAACAGTTATTTATTCACATTTGTTCATTCATTTAAGACGGCATTACCTATTTCTAATACTAAATATACTTCTACAATATTAAAATTACAAAGAAATTTATAAAAGGTGTGTCTAAACTTGTACCCAAAAAATGATCTGCCAGTGTAGCCATCTAACAAATAAAAAACCCTATTTAATGTTAATTATTAAAGGAATCGAATATTTGGGTAAGAAATTAACTTAAGTCGGGAGTGAAATTTGGATTAAGAATTTTATGTTGATCAGTATAAATGATTAAATTAATAATTATATTTTTTTGTGAACAGGTATCAATGTAGAGACTCAACTGTATTAAACAACAAAATATATTTTTAACTTCAAATAAAAGAAACCAAATTAGGAGAAAAAGAATGTAAGCTTGTTCCTGAGGTTGTTGTCAATTTTCTATTTTCAATCTTGTTTTGTCTTCAGCCCACCCTAACTGTGTGCTGTTCATCACTCACGGGGGTCAATTCAGCACACTTGAGGCAGTTCACTTCGGCGTTCCTGTCATCGGTATTCCTCAGTTTTTCGATCAGCATCGCAACGTCAGGTTCTTCGTAGAGCGAGAAGTCGGAGTTAAGGTTGCCATCGACAACATCTCAGAGAAGACGATGAGTACAGCGATAAGAGAAGTACTGGACAATCCACGGTTAGTAAAATATATTGTGAGGTTAATCTTTAATTAAAACTACTTAGCGTACAAAGCATGTTATCATCTTACTGTTACCACTTTCCTGTAGACCTAGGACCAAAAAAATGACTTACGATTCTCAAGGACATCAGGAAAATTAGCTGAAATTGTAGTCTACTGTTGAGCCTAGCTGGGGCATATTACTCGTCTCCTAAGTTTCCACGGACATGTCTGAACTAATACGATGACTCCCTAGACCCTATGGCAAAGGTCTGGAGTTTGCACTAAAACACTCTAGTTCTTAGTTTTCCCCACCGTGTTTCTTTAAGCTATAAAATTTCATGTAACCTTTTGTAAAATTATGTATGTACCAAAACATTTCTTGTACTTTTAATACTTAACACCTTCAGTCAATGTTTTATTGTTTCCTGGTAAACTAATGTATTATTAGATTGAGGCTTTAGAAATGTTATGCTTTCGTTTTAAGGTCTTGAGACAGTGCTGCCTTGTACAATTCAAGTATATTTTTTGAATCAACAAAATAACTTTTACTGCAATTATATAGTTATTTGTGCAACTAGTGAGAAAAGTGAGCAATTGACTCACTCGAGAGAAATCCTTACTCACGAGCCGTAGGCGAGTGAGGAATGGTTTCTCGAGTGAGGCAATTGTACTTTGAACTCGAGTTGCACATTATACTTTTCCTACAGTACCATAAAACAAATAAATTGGTGAAGAAACATAACCTATTTTTACACAGAAGTGAACTTTTAATATAAAATTAAATGTGAAGTGACAAATACAACAGTACAACAGCTGACCAGCTGATTTACAGCCAGTGCTTCCAACGTACTTCGCGTGCATACGACGTTGCCTGCATGTTACGTGCTCACTATTTCGTGCCTTCACGTTGCAAATCTGGAGTGAGACAAAGTAATTAGAGTGAGACCAATGTTAACATTGTCTCACTGATGAGCGAATTGGCCACTTTGCTTTCTCAAATCAGTGAGAGAACATGTACATTGTTAGGCTAGGATTATACTAGGACGCTGGCGCCCGGGATGCTGGCGTCCGAGAGGCTAGCGTCCCACCTCGAGCCGAAAAATGACGTGATTTGTGTTGGGATGCTAGCCTCTCGGTCTGCCATTTTATTTCAATGTTTAGTCCCTTTTTTTAACATTAAATAACATTAGGTTTAACGAGTACCAAGGTTTTATGATGTAAGGGGGCTAATAAAGTGTGTTTTTTAGTAAAATACTGTATTATTAGCTTAGTATAAAACGAATTGGCCAAGTTTAATCGAAATATATCCATACACAATCAAATTCCAACACTTAACAACATTTTCTATAAGAATAACATGGCAATTTTAATATACTCTTTTTTTAATTTTCTCCATAACTAATAACAGTACAAAAACACTTAAATATAGGTACTAAATTATTTGTTTTTAAACTCATTAAAATTATCTAGAGAGAAATTGTGATTTTTTTAGTTTTATGGGTCAAAAATGACACACCCCCCTTTTTAGCACATAAACCCCGTTCCCAAGGTATGTTCATGCTGGTTCGCGAACTCATTCAAATTTATCCCACCCTTCACCTTAAAACCAAACTTCTTCAAAATAGAACAAAAGTTACTCCAGTTGTTTACAGACATATATATATAATATTTAAATCTATACGAACGGATGGTGTTTTTGGCCTCTGGGGACATCAAAATGAAAAAGTAAATCGGTCCCGGGCCTAGGTTTTACCATGCCACCTACGGTAATAATTTCGAGCTTTCGGTGGTTTTTTTTTAGCATCCGACGCTAGCATCCATTTGATTTAATGCCCCGCTAGCGTCCCGGACGCTGGCCTCTCGGACGCCAGCGTCCTAGTATAATCCTAGCTAGGTAACTGTAGGAAAAATTTCTTGTAACGTATTTAAGGGGAGTCGCTACTGAAACTAGTGATTTTTAATAAAATCCTTTTAAAAATTATCATATATACTTTTTTAAGTTCATTTAGTCTTAGAAAAAGATTTACTGCTGTTAAAGTAAAAAAAAATTTACATACTTTTTTTAGTTTTTTGGCGGGAAAAAATGGGGGTTTTTTAAATCTCTTATAACTATTTAACTACTGAACCAATTTTATTGTTCGATATCTTATTTTAAAGAGCAAAGAAAGCACATACTTTCTGTGCATACTCATGTTATTTTCTCAATTAGTTTATAAGTTATGGCTTCAAAAATAAGTTTTAGAAAAATTTATAGGTTATAATTTTTTTTTAATTTTTTTCATGTACTTTTATTTACCCAATTACAATATCCATGCACAGTAAGTTGATTTATAGTACAAACAATGTGTGGTTAAAATTTCATTCATATAGCTGTAATAGTTAAAAAGTTATAAGAACTTATATATAAAAAAACAAAGTTTTAAAGTCGCGGAAAACAGCGGTTGAAGTTTATACTAGGCCTAGGTGATGCCCCAAAAGAGGTGTGCACGCTTTACTTCAAATATTTTTTTCACAGTGATAAAAATATATATTAAACCAAATGTTATGTTTTTCTGAAACCTTACAATCCATAGAACAAGATAAAAAAATAATAAAAAAATCAAGTTTTTTACAAAATTGGTAGTTTTTCAGTAGCGACTCCCCTTTAGGATTAAGGGTGTCGTACAACAAGGGTACAAGTACCAAACTCTAATTCAAACCAGCTTATATCATTTTAAAAGGCCTCCATGCACTCTCAGGACTAAAAACATTCTAAAAATGAGTTCATCAGTCGTGGAAAGACGATAAACATTTTATTCAAAATTAAATCCTTCCAGCAGTCAGTCTCGTAAACTGCTGTGAGATTTTAGACCTTCAATGAGTAATTTTAGCGCAAAAAACTATATATAGACCTAAACTTAGTCTGTGTTGCTTGGTTAGCATGATAAGTAAATCAGTGTCTGCAGTAACTAATCCCTTACACATAGTTGTACTCCAGAACCATAAGGACTTGCTAATTATTGAAATGTGACATTTTAGGAATAAAGTAGAGCCATTAATATCCAGCAGGGATTTTGCTGACTGGAGATATTGTTTACAGTTACAGGGACAACATGAAGAGGTTGTCAGCGGTATTCAGAGATCGGCCTATGTCTCCTGCGGAGTCTGTCGTGTTTTGGACGGAGTACGTGTTGAGACACGGCGGAGCTCCACATTTGAGACCAGCCTCTACTGAACTGCGATGGTATCAGCTATGGCCACTGGATGTAGCTTTGTGTGTCTTATTGGTACCAACGTTTTTAATTACTTTTTTTGTATTATGCTACAAAAGGTTAACACAAAAAAGTGTTTCTAAATTAAAAAAGCGAAACTAGTTTCCGTAAATTTTAATCTCATCCTATTTTCAACAATTGAATGAACAAAATCCGTTTGTGAGTAAGGAGTAGGTAGGAGTAGGTGATTATACTATAGTAATAAACATCGTATGTACTTGTTGCAGTATTTTCTTAAAAGTATTTTATCACATTGTTTGTCTTGTTTTCCAAACACCAAATATCATTCGGGAAGTAACAAACATTTACTTCATTACTTACATCCTCAAATGGGTACTGTAAGCACAGTAGCCTCAAAACTTGAAAAAATAAATTGCTTTTAAAGTATAATCAAGCTGAAACGAGCCAAACATTTCATGTTGAAAAAGGTTTAAAGCTTAAGAAAAATTAAGCCATAAAAATCATAAGTTCATCTCGAAGGTGAAATTTACGAACGTAAAGTTAACACCGGTTCTTAATTTTGCAAGAAAACCCCCAAAAGACGTTTAAAGTTTCATTTAGGTATTCGAGGTACCTGGTAGACCTTGGTTCAGTCACAAACCTCTTGTTGCCCAATAACAGCTCACTTGGAGGTGACCCTTGACCCTACGAATCAGGAATGGCCCTCGATGACGCATTATTGGTTTTTGCACAAATTTTTACAGAAAACAGAACTTACTAAAACAGCTTGCACCTTACTTAATTAGACAATGCGAAGTCTCTCTAGGATATATAGTCGAAAGGCATTTAAGAATAACACTAAAACACTACCATTTTACAACATACGGTTTTACAATAGTCTTTATTGAGTTAAATATTTACTAAAATACATCGATACAAAAACACACACGTAGGGATCTTTCTACGGTTAATTATTTTTACAAAATACTGAATAAATCAGGAAACATACCTATTCCTACACTATTGGAGATATTTTTAAGCAATATTATCCAAGTCTCCCTGTTAAATGAGAAAAAAGTTTTGTTTATTTTATACACCTACCCGTTGGTTATGTCCATACATTACTGCATGGTGCACTCAAAGATACTAAATGAAACTGCCACACTACTTTTGGAACTTATGGTGCCATAATTGTGAATTTCATTGGATACTTGTATGTCTATCTAAAGTACCCGACGTGTGGGTTAGGTACTTTATAAGTGTCGTTGTGTGCAACAATATTACAACTCACAGCAACTTAGTTGCCAAGTGTAAAAGCAACTTGTAACCTCTGCAAGATTACACAACCGTCTGGTCAATATTTGCATCAGTGAAATTTCCATCTAGGCGTGACGTCATTTGCGGATTCATACATGAGGATAGGTCGGAGTTGACTTATATTTCATGCCATCGTGACTGGAAACAAAAAATATCTACACTGTCATTGATGTGAAAATTTTGAAATGAAATAAAATTTAAATTCTTTATTCATACAGGCAAAGTTAGGGCCACATGTTCAGCTCTTACATTTAACCTGTAAACAAAATGTTATTAAATGTTAATAGTGTTAAGTCGTTATTTTCACAAAACCCTTTTAGAACGGACACGCTACAGCTGGAATAGATTCATAATCTGGAATAGTCAAATTTTCGAACAAAGTAAAAGATTTAAACATAAAATCAGTACTATTAACTTACATTAACTTTAGATATGCCATTTGAAAATTAAATCAATTATAATTACAACAAGGTCAAGTGCTACTACTGTAAGCGTTTGCTTTCATATGAGTCAACTCGTTAATCAAACCAACTTGAAAATATAAAATGAACTCTAACTAGCTTTTAGTGGTGGGAATAATCCGGTAGAAAGAAAAATCTTGCCTGATGGACAAGTCTTTCTTTCATGGTTTATCGTTTTGTCAACATTATCGTATTGGGGGGAGCGAGCTGGTCTAGTGGTTAGAGCGCGGGACTTCGGTCCCAGAGGTCCCGGGTTCAAATCCCGCCAAATCACCAATGGATTTTATCTAAGTGATAATGCTGCAACCCCTAGGTCCAGCCTGAAGTAATGTGGAAAACAATCTCAGGCTCGTGTCTAGAGTTCTAGGACAAAAAAATCTTATTGCTCAAAGCCATTGCTTGTTATAGTCGGATTCATATTCAGGACTTCAGGACAGAAGTTCATCCGATAATTTTGCCAGCCGCAACCTACTGAAAGAGTAGCTTCTTGTATACTATATAACCTATTATGTCCCTCAAAAATTATTATAGCACCAATGAACTCTGTTATTTAATTCCAATGCTGATACTTCATGTTTCTACTAAACAAAAATTTCAATTTCATTTTATGTTTGCTGCTCATGTACAATAGTGTGGTTATTTTCAACCAATGATAAAATACTGGATTCAATTTATTAAGGATTTAATTTTTAACCATTCTTTTTTTTGTAATTGCAGGCTATTGTTTATGCAGCACATACTATTGCTGTAGTAGTATTCAGAATTTACTGCATGTAGTTTCCTTAAAGACCCTCTACTGGAGTCCAAGGTGAAATAAATTATTCAATAAAACCCCAACTATCCGGAAACAGACGAATTAAGAATTCACATGGGAACGAAAAAAAATATAACAACAAACAGGTTTAGTTAAATTTGCTTTAAGATTTGACCTCTCAAACTACCTTGGTCCATAGGCAAGTATTCTCTGACCTCCACAATATTCTGTTTGTGAGTAGGTCAGTAGTGGTAGGACACCAATACAAACTTCCCTGTGGCCTTTTTCTTAAGGAGTTATCCAAATCTGGATCTGGCCAGCGATTGGCTACGTCTCGCCTTGAAAACAGATTTTATTTTACAATACCTATATAATTTGCTAAGTTTGTGCCCTTCTCCTTGTATGTGACAAAGTTGTTTTTAGAACATTCCATTAGCAAGGAGACTAACACAAAACATAAACATAGTGGTGGATGTTTTCAATAGTTATACATTGTTGTTTTAATCACTAAACTATTTGACTAATTATTGTATTAGGTGTAAGGCATGCATTGTTGAGCATGTAAGTTAAGTGATAATCAGAAGATCCACTCAAGTGAAATTCAAACTGCACTAACTACTTTAAGGTTACAAAAAAAAAAAACAAGTAAATGATTGAAAAAGAAATATTATAAAATAAAATAACTTTTGTTACATTTGCTTGGAGTGAAAAAAGTATTTTTTTTGTACCCTTGTTTTACTACTGGACTTCAAATTGTTTTAGTTGTTAGGAGCTTTTGTTACGGGAAATTCCAAACCCTGGTGTAATATTCATCTGTTTTTGGTGAGCTTCATTCAATTAACAAATTTGGGCCAAGAATAGAGATGTCTTATGAACAATCAGGGAACTTCATATTTGAGTGATTTTCCCCAATAACTGCGTATGACTTAATGAAATGAAGTTTATAATCGGGTTTCAATAATGCCAAGAATGTCTTTCAATCGTCTAAGTAGTGGTAGTGGTAAACGATGACCAAGTCTCCTTTTAATAAAATACATATAAAAGCCATCCTATTAAAAAACATTTCTAATAAATATTTAACAGATAAGGATGACCAAGGAGACCAACCATCACTGTCAACCTACCTTGGTTGACTTCAAATCAACGAATAACAATTCAAATCTCTGGACTAGGGCAGTATGTACAAACTGGTCTTTCCATGCTTTTTGGCTTGTTTCTATATGCATTAAACTCGAACCAGTTTATATTGGCGATAAAACTCAACACCACCCAAATTATGCCATATTCCACCGACAGGATGCAGTATCGGGCAACTAAAACGCCCCAAGGCTTCTTAGGCAACCGATTTCCCATTGTCAAGAGGCAAATTAGTTTACAAAAATGACTTGGTTGCAAACAGTTGCGTCATGGGCGTGTGAAACATGCTCAGTGGTGATTCGGATGTGATATAACATCTTGCTGCCCGAGACTGTGCAAGTAGAGCAATGTCCTGACCTTCAGGGGGGACGTGGTATAGGATAGCCAAGGAGTAAAGCAGGGAGAACCGGAAGATATGTTGAAATATGTATTCTAACCCCGTGATTTTTTGTCAGCTTAAATCAATCTACGAATTTGTAGAATCTAAATAAACTACATGACTGTAACAGTATCGAAACTAAAGAAAATACACTCAATAGGTCAAAAATGTCATGGTGCGTTTGGTAATGGTACGGAAAATAACTAAAAGAAAGGTCTTTTAGTTAAAACACTTAAAACATATATTTACACCTATACTGTTACTCACAAGACGTTAAATATATACAAAAAATATGGTAAGTAGTAGTAATGGTTAGCCTACTATCCACATTGAACTAATTTAGTTTATTAATTGTAACAATTGGAAATTAAGATCTTCATTGCCATATTGCAAATTTGTTAAAATAAAGAAAAAAAGTTACACTCTTAATTACTCGAACCAAATTTGGGGTTGAACTCGTTTATTTTTTTTTAAGTTTACCTACGATTATGTGAACAGATGAACGTAAGGAAACACCACAATGGTTTGAATATAAACATGTATGTATTTATATACAAAGGCAAACTATCAATATAAAATATAAAAGAAAATTTAAACTGTAACGTGTGTTTTTTTTTTTACTTACAAAATGTTTTTGGTACGAGAACATTTACATAATGCACGGATAGAAAAAAAAATCAATAAGTGTTCGGTGGTATTCAATAAATCTAAAAAATGACCACCGTTTAAGGTTCTGCCGGCAAAATTACCCATGCAATGTTAATTCCATCCCCGAGAAATGCAGCAAAGGTGTGCGATGTGCTAGATTTAGATTAACGTCAGCAGAGCGTTAGAGAATTTTCAAATAGTGTTAAAAATTTGTTTTATTTAACAAGCTAAAATCCCTCATGGTACATTTCCTATACCATCTCCATCTTAAAGTACTTCAGTTAGCCTGATCCTTAAAGAATGAGTAATACCTTTGTAATACTAAGGAATTATCAGATGGTTTTATTACAAGCTTGTTTTTTATAGCCAAATAATACCCTTTTTTACATTAATTCCATAGTTAGCATTAGAAAACATATTGTTTTGCATCCGCCATATTTATTAACATTTCTTGATGATTGGCCAGGCTCCCTAGACGCAATAGATAGTAATAAAATGTGATCCATTTTCTTCTACTTCTAAAGAATACTAATATTTGTTATATATTTTTAATTCAACAGGAAATTTTCCATCATTAAGTCGGTCAGTCAATTTAAAGAAGTTGTGTAAAACGAGAGTTTTAACAGTTTTTAGCCAACCCATATAACAAACGTCTGTTTTACCTATATTGGAAATCAAGACTCAAATGACCCAGGACAAAAAAAAACTCGTGACAGATGTTATAATGTTAGATATTATTCATATGTAATTTGTCAAGTAATTC